TATATATATATATATATATATATATATATATATTATATATTTATATATATATCCGTACAAATATTCCAGTAATCCAGTGAGAGATAACACTCAAACATTGAGCAAGAAAGAAGAATACAGCACTCATACACGATAACTCATCAATGTTCAGATCCAACAAGCATAGTTCAAGTACAGGTTATCGTAAAGAATTTTATATTTCACGGAATAATTTATCGCTTCACTAGGTTTTTTATGCAAAATGCATATTTATCCGGAATTTGTGGAGCATGTGTAATCCTACAATCATAAAAATGCGAATTTTGACGCGTACGAATTTTAATGTGAACCAAGTTATTTCATTATTTCTTATAAAATAATATAACTTATCACACCAATTCAGGCAGTTCAGCTAAAAAGACCTAATATTTCACAAAGTTCAGAAGATATTGATAATGAAACTTCGTTTTCCGGGACGAAGTTTGTCATGAATTAAACGATTCATCGACGTCCAAGTTTATCGTAATCACGTTCAAGAAATGTGAGAGAATTTCGACGAATCACGTAATGGGTACGAAATACGGCGGGAATGTATTATAATTAGCTGAACATTTCCGTCAAAATATTTAGCACTTCAATTGTAAGCCTCGGACGAATTTGCGTGAATTTGTAGTAGCGGCAGGAATGACAGTTGATTTCTTTTTGGCAATATTTATAAGAAAGAGACTAAATTATTTTTCAACGTTAAAAAATAAAAATTGAAACTAACGAAATTTGCTCCTTTTTTTTCTTTTTTTTGTTTTAATAGAGATCAGATCGGTCTCTGTCTTTGAAATTAAGAAAGATGACATACGAGAAACGATGGCTTTACCTTGGAGTAACTTCTTCAGAGTCTCGATGCCGTTCTTTACATTCTCCTCAGTCTCCCTGAGTTGTTTTTCGGCTAAAGCCTTAGCCTCAGGTCCGGGTGGACCTGTCTGAATTTCGAAAGACATCCTGGATCCGTTTCTTCGATCCTCGCTCTTCGTTCCTGCGGCGATTTTCGGTCACTCTCGATCTCGACTACGCTGAAACGTTCCTCGCAGCAGGACGACAGAAACTTATCTGTGTCACGCAATTCTCACCACGAACAGAAGGAGGCTTCCTCTTGTGTATCATACTGAACCAATCTTTGACCATTCAAAGTCCAAGCTGGTTTGTCGATCAGTCCTCTTTTACTGCGCCCCCGTGCAATATACGGATTCTGACTCAGTCGTTTATGTTTGTGCGTGATACTCTTGAAGATATAAAAGTATGACGCGTCATTTGATAACGAAAAAGAATCTTCGCTCGTGTTTCAAAGTATCAAACTTGATCAATAAACTCTTTTTTCATTGAAGAACGCACAAAGCTCATTATTCGCTTTTCTACACGTGGAAATTCTTCAAAAGTATCAGGAAGTCGAGAGGATCAAGTGAATTCTAACCGCAAGGACGAAGAAACGAGTTGATCGATTATAAATAAAGAATGATACCTTCGAAATGCAAACATTTAAACGAACAGATTATTCGTGAAGATAAAGAGACAATAGATAGATCAATTTATTATATGTTTTAGGAAAAATTTCTTTCCAGCGCAGGAAATTAATATAAAATGCAACTGAACAACTACACAGATACAGACTTACAAACAAAAAGAAAATAAAAAATAGAGTACAAGTGCTCGTGCTGACGTAAAAAGTGATAATCGACGATAAATCGTGAATATACTGTCTATTAATTCATCAAATTTTTTCCGTCCTATTTTCTTTCGTAATAACTAATCGTTATCGGCGTCCTTGAGCTTATTCAAACAAATTTACTTTCAGTAAATATATTCCTTAACAATACACCTTTATCAAATATAAAATCTTTAAAAAGTTCATAAAACTATCTCTTTCTATATCGACATAAATATAGACATTCGGTTATAAGTTTTTAACTTGTAACTTGTATTGTTTAATTTGGGAAATAGAAGTCGATAAATTTAAAATCTTTGGTTTCATACAAGCTCAAACGTGAACGTAACTTTCTATATTTAACAGCTGTTTTTATTAAATATTAATAATACGATAATACATAATATTTTTAAAAAGTCGTCTATTTCGAGATTTAAAAGTCAACTTAATTGTTTTTCATGGAATTCTACGGTTGTTTTAACCTAAATGGTTGTTTTAACCATTTTCTAATAATCTTACACGAACACTTTATCTATATAATAAACTGAGGAGTTGATTTATGCAAAAGAAAATTATATAGAAAAAAATCAATAATTTACTTCCCAGGTTTCACATCTGAAAACTTTACTGACTATATATCCACCATGAGAAAGATATATATTAAACAATATTTCGATCCATTTTTGCACATAGTTTCACAGTCTAAATACACTTATAATTCTGAGCAGTCGATACAACGTAATCTTTACAGTCGGTATCTCGCCGGCAAAATTTTCAGATATAGTTTATCCCTTTAAATTAAACGTGATCAATAAGACCGCTTTCACTACGCTAGTCAGTACACATTTTCTCATCTTGCGATTTTAATATTTACACAGTACAGACTGATGCATATTGCCGAGAAAAGAGTAGAAATAAAAATCTGGATGTTCGATAATCTCGGAGATATGACTATTTGCAAGATACAAAGTAGTTTACAATACAATATAACGTTTCATATGGTCGTTGCGGAAGAAGATAATTAGCGATTTGAGTGTGGCGCTCATGGCGTTAGCGCTGGCGCGTTCTCCTTATCAACCAGCTGTCAAACTCAAGAGAGAAACGACGGACGGTGCCGTGCTGTTGTCTTCGTTCTCGCTCACGACTCGGAAAGTCTCGTCCTGTCTCTTTCCTTCCATTTTCTACTCTTTGTTCTCTTGTCCCGTCGAGATTCGAATTCGAAACTATTGCGTTTCGGAATGCGGAAAGTGCAAGAGGTGCAGCTGGAACGAGCGGACGTATACAGGCCTATGGAGTTGCGCGTGCACGAGGCGACGGTGGGCGGCGGAGGGTGGCGATGCGTCGCGGCGTGCTGTATGTCGACGGTCCCGCGACAGCACGGTGCAACAACGTGATGTACGACATGTTCAACCGGCGATGCAGCCATCGTGTCGTCCTCAGCAACAACAACCGCACCGCCACGCGCCACTACTCAGAGTACAATTATGGCTTGGTGTTCAGCGCCGAGCCGCTCAAGGATGACGTGCTGTTCGAAGTCGTCATTGATAAGAAGGTATGTACCTCCCTCGAGAGACGCTCTCGCGCCCTCGGTCTGTCGCCTCCGCGTGTGCACCCTCTCCCTTATAATGGAAGCATCATGCGTCTGTCTTTGCCTCCTCTCTTTCTGTCTTTATCTCTATATATATCTCTCTCTGTCTCTTTTCCTGTTCTTTGTGGAACGAAATTCGTTCTTTCGAATAACGTTTCCAAAGATTCCACTGTCAGATGAAACAATTTATAGTACGAGATGTTGTATACACGTGTGACGTTGGTATTCATAAACGAATACCCTGTATATATATTATTTACCTATATATTATTAATCCTGCAGTGCATCAAGTTTGTGGTGTGAGACTTGTTTTGTGTTTGTTAAATTTGACAGGCTAACCTTTACCAGGTGCTCATGCTGCTCTATATGACAAAATAGAAAAAGAAATAATTTAAAAAATTAAAAAGATTTTGAGACCAATGTACTAAATCTCATTATAGGATGTTTGTATTTTGTGTACCAGATTTTAAAAACTTGTGATATTTAGCTTAATTCCTTTGAAGAATATAATGACAGTGACAAGTATATGTTATGTGAAAAGATCAATAATTGTAAAGTTTGTATACATATACTGAATGTATGATTTAATATTTAGTTACTGTTGTATTGATTTAATAAGTTGCTACTATGCTGATGTATAAGAAGTATCAATTTTCTTTTAACGACACGTTGTAAATTTGTTTTTATCTTGTGAAGGTGATAACATGGACTGGCAGTATAGAAATTGGAGTGTTAGAATGCGATCCAAACACCATAGAACTGCCATCCTGTGCCATGAATCTTCGTCATGGATCTTGGCTTATGACTGGATGTGCGATATTTCGTGATGGAGAACAAGTTGTGGAAACATATGGGATAGACCTTAATGATCTGGAGGTGGGACATACTGTGGGAGTAATGCGGACATCAAATGTGAGTTACAATTCATTAGCCAATGCTTATTATTTTAAATAGTAATTAATAATTTTTACCTGTAATTTTACAGCGCGAATTGATATTCTATGTCAATGGTGTTTCACAAGGCATTGCTGTCGCCAATGTCCCAGAGGGACTTTTTGCCGTTGTTGATATGTACGGTGATTGTGTACAAGTCAGTGTAACTCGTCCCAGACTTGCTACTGTGTCTAACGAACCGAAGGAGGAAGTTGAGATTAATAATGATCATGCTATTGGGGAAACCTCTATTTCCTCGACAACAAGTCTAGTCGCTAATTTAAGCGTTAATTTAAGTGTCAATGTGAATGTTAATTTACCGAAGAATCCAAGTCCCGCCGCGATAAGGGAGGACCGATTAAAATTTCATGAGAGAGTTGGGTCACTGGTAAAACTGTCCAATAACGCCAGGACCGCCGAGAGGCGGAGGCCGCTCGATGAATTCAACAATGGTGTTGTGATGACACACAGACCCTTACGAGATAACGAATTGTTCGAGGTAAGTAGCTGTGCGTTAGTTCGATCAATTATAAAACGGCAACTCTGCATAAATTATGAAACTGTTATTTGCAGATACGAATAGACAGGCTAGTCTACAAGTGGTCGGGAAGTATAGAAGTTGGCGTCACTACTCATAGTCCTACAGCATTGGAGTTTCCAGCCACGATGACCAATATGCGCTCCGGCACGACGATGATGTCTGGCTGCGGTATTTTAACAAACGGCAAGGGCACACAACGTGAATACGGAGAATTTAATCTGGACGAATTGAGGGTACAGGAGACCTGAAACTATAGTTTAGCTCTTATTCTTGTCTTCGTTTCGTTAATTTTGCTGTATCGTTTCTCAGGAAGGAGACCGGGTAGGAATGATTAGGCGGAACAACGGAAATCTTCACTATTTAATAAATGGTCTGGATCAAGGAATCGCTGCTAAAGTGCCCGCAGGTGTGTGGGGTGTGATAGATCTCTATGGCATGACCGTGAAAGTAACTATCGTTGATCGTGATGAGAGGGAAGAACAGAATCTAGTTACTAGAAGGAATACACTACAGTTGCAGGGTCTAGACAGTGAAGGTAAATCATATACACATCAATTCTACATTGTACCTCTCTACATATAATTTTAGAGACGATAATGGAAAAACTCTCCTTTGTTGAATCATGTTTTTTTTTTTTTTTAATTTATAAGACAAAACAAATTTGACGACTAGCCAAAAAGATTATATTTTATTCATAAATTTAATAAAATATCCATCTTATACTCAAATAATAACTTATAAATATACTACTTCCCGTCAAACTAACTCGATAAAGGTCATGTTAAGATTGTAAATATAATACTGCTTATCATATTTACAGTCAGAAATATTTGTATCATAATACTCACCGTTTGTACAACTGTCAATTTTCTCAGTTCCTTTTGAACTTTCAATATATTATAATCTCTTGTTACAATAGCAGATACAATCACATATTTACTCTAAAAGATCGAACGTAACGAATTCTTACGAATTAATCTTCTTATTAAAGATATTTTGAACAGACATTCCTCTATATATTCTTCTGATTACGCCATTACAAGTACAAACTGTCAGGTGCACTTTGCATCTTATACTTTTATACAGATCTGCCAGAACATGTCACTAGTATTGATAATTAAATTTTTTCATAGACGCTGGAGAAGAAGAACCGCCTGATAGATTAATGTTCCATTTTTGTTGTGGCACACATGCTGATGTAATCAACAATGGTCGCACAGCGCATAGGCCTAAGTATAAACTGAGATATATTATGTCCTCCTATAATAGATCCTAAAGATCCGGCAGTCATTAATCGAGCGTATAAATCTTTTTACAGTGCTATAGACGATTTTAACAACGGCGTCGTATTGACCTCGAGACCGTTGAAGCCCAACGAGCTATTCGAAGTCAGACTCGATAAGATCGTCACGAAATGGGCCGGCTCCATCGAGATAGGTGTTACAACGCACTCGCCAACGGAACTGGAATTTCCCTTTACCATGACGAACGTCAGGTAAGTTAGAAGAACTGTGCGATTTTCAAACTGGCTTTACACGCAGTCTTACACGGCTTTACACATAGCCACGAACAAAGAACCGCGCGGTAAGTCTTTACCCGCTTCTGTTATCGCTCGAAGGTCCATATCGCTTGTAGATCTGGCACGTGGATGATGACTGGGAATGGCGTGATGCATAACGGCACCACCATGATAGATCAGTACGGACAAAATCTGGACCGTTTGCAAGTCGGCGATCGTGTAGGAGTGATGAGAAAGGATAACGCGATGTTGCACTTCTTCGTGAACGGCGCCGACCAGGGAGTGGCTGCAATGGGCGTGCCTGAGAAAGTATACGGTGTGATCGATCTCTACGGACAGGCCGCTCAAGCTACCATAGTCGACAATGTGGATTTTTACAGCCCGACCACGAACAATTCGAGCTTCAGCAATACGACGTTGTACAGGTGCAAATTCCTGACAATTCGACCATTTATGTTTTTATCATCGACTCGAGCGTAGACAATCGTGTTGACCTGTTGACAGTGATCTACGGTTCCATCATGTCCATGGTAGAAATGCGAGAATCACGAACAATGGTCTGACGGCATCCAGACCGCGAGCTTTAGGTGAATTTAACGAAGCCATCGTGATTGCTAATCGCGCTCTACGTGACGGTGAATTGTTCGAGGTGACGATAGACAAGATGGTCGCTAGATGGTCCGGTGCTATCGAAGCAGGTAGTTATTGCAATGTTATTATATATTGTAGCATATCGATAGTAATGATTTTAATAATTATACAATTAACCCGGCAATATTCGGTTTACAGGTGTTACTGTGATAAGGCCCGACGAATTGGAATTCCCGTCTACAATGACTGACATTGATCATGACACATGGATGCTCTCTGGATCGACGGTAATGCGCGACGGAGTAACGTTACGGCATAATTATGCCTGCGATTTGGATAAATTAGTGGAGGGAAATCGTATTGGAATGATGCGGTGTTCGGATTCAAGTTTACATTATTATTTGGACGGAGTGGATCAAGGTGTTGCTTGCACGGGTCTACCGGCGAATGTTTACCCAGTAATTGATCTGTATGGTCAATGCGCTCAGGTATATAGTTAATACGCGCTCCTGTCTGACAAAAAAAAATTAACGTGTTTCGACCTTTATTGATTCGAACTGGTTGGTTGCAGGTGACGATAGTATTACCAGAACGCAGAGATCCACTTACCCAACAATACTTGCCATCGGAGAACAGTACTAGTCAACAGCCGACTTCGGTCATTCAACCTCAGGCGCAAACGGAGACACTGCACAAGTTCCACGAGTCAGTCGGACTGAATATACAATTAAATAGCGATAGAACGGTGGCGACTAGGTGTAGGGAGTACAACAACGCCGTGCTGTTGAGCGAGACGGCGCTCGAGAATAACGAGTTGTTTGAGATCAACATACAGGAGGTCGCGCGCGAATGGAGCGGTTGTTTGAGGATAGGCGTCTTGAGCAACGAGACAGGGAATTGGCTGGCATCAATGAACCTCGTGCCTGGCATGACATCCATTCCCAATGACGCTTGGTACTTGACCGGCAACGAGGTGAGGCACTCCGGCTTTGTGTTGGCTTCCAACTATTGTCCGAGTCTGGACTGGCTGCGGGTTGGCGATAAGATCGGTATGAAACGAACGCACGAGGGTAACCTTAAATTGTACGTAAATGGTGAGGATATGGGCGTGGCGGCCTCTGACATACCCGAGATGGTGTACGCGGTGATAGAACTGTTTGGTAGCACCGTGGCGGTGAATATTACCAGCAGTAAGCAGCAAAACACCGCGATATCGCCAAACGCTAGTCTGAGGCTGCAAGATTCGCTGGAGCTGCTATTGGATCCGATGCCGCCTGTGCTGAGGAACGACGCGGGAATGGACACATCGATAGACGTGTCCGAGGGAAAGTTGATAAACGACGTGACGCTCACGCCCACGCAATCATCCGCGGTCGTGCCAACCGGGGACGGAGATTGGAATTACGAGTTTCACGAGAATCATGGCAGGAACATCCAGCTTGAGACAAAGACAATCGCCAGAAGAGTGGCGAGTTACAATCAGGGTGTGGTGATGTCCAGTCGTCCGCTGATCAAGGGTAAGCCGTTCCAAGTAAAGATAGAGAGGCTGAATGAACGTTGGGTATCGAATATTCTCTGTGGCGTCTCTTGTATCACACCGGAGAAAGCGACGAGCTTTCCGTTGACCGCGCTTGGTTTCAAGAGACACTCGTGGATCATCTGCAGCGACTGGATATCCCACAACGGAACGCGAGTAAAGACCAAATATGGCTCCAGTTTAGAGAACCTTCAGTGTAATTCCATCGTGGGTTTACTGATCGATGAAGACAGCCGGTTGCATATGTTCATCAATGGTGTGGATCAAGGAGTAGCTGCGACCGATTTGCCGGCGTACGTCTACGCGGTATTCGATTTGTACGGTCAATGCGAGCAAGTGTCCATCGCTGTGGTTGATGAGGGGACCGCTTACGCGAACGTTGCTATCGACAACGCACTCGTAGCTCCCATAGAATGTGGAAGCGTAGAAGTGGAGGACGTGGAGAATTCGAGGGAAAAAGCCGACTTGGAGTGTCACGAGAAGGAGAACGCAATGCCGACCACTTCGTCGGATCTTTCTCCATCTTCTACGTCGCCGAGCGTGCCGAGCCAGTACGCCAGCTCGACCACTAAGGACGGCAATCTCGCCGAGTACTCGTCCTTTAGTAACGTCAATCTCGCGGACAATAGTATGGAGAACAAACCGGCGTCAAGTGTCGACAGTAACAATTCCGACTCAGGTTCGGAGCTGAGCAACGACACGCGCAGCGACAAGAACAAAACAGTGTACCCGGACAACGCCGAGAACAACCCGAGCGAGTCCAATCACGATGCGGGTAATCGCGCGATCGCCAGCGTCTTAAGTATTAAGAATGAATGTACAAATGTAGAGATTAACAACGCGACTAACATTAACATTAAGAATGGTATGGTCGCCAGCGCCAGTAACATGAGCAGCCTGAACGCGGCGATCACCTCGACGAACGCCAACAACGCGATTAACGAAAGCATAGCGTCCAATAGTCAAGTCAGTAGTATAAGCACCGCGCAGCAGAACAATCCGCCTACGGGCAACCAGAGCATGAGCACGTCGCACAGCGGCACGTTTTCCTGCCAGAACGTCGCGCCGAACAACATGACCGTTGCGAGCAGTCCCAACAACGGCGCCGGCTACTTGTGGTCGCGCACCGTGAGTCGCGACAACTCTTTCATCGGCAACATATTTCCGAGCCAGAACACGACAGCGCCCTCGATACCACTGATGCCGTCGTTACCGTCCACTCCGCTCGGCTCGTCTGTCGCATCGTCGAAGAAATGCGATTACCTGAAGGCGTGTATGCAGCTGAAGAAGTCGCTCGTGCTACCGGACGAGTTTTTCTCCGCCGACGAAGTGATGTGCTACTGCAGTGCTTGTTACAAGGTGGACGGCGATAACGCAATCTGCAAGAAGGGCGAGCCACCGGCGGAGTTCGCGATACCGGTCGGCTGGGTCAGATTTCCGTTGAAGCAGAGTATCAACGCCAATCAAATCCCGCAGAGCACGACGGACAAATGGCATGTCGCGTTTTACGGCATACGTTTGGACGCGATAAGGTATGGTGAACTATCCCGATATCATACAGAATTTTGCTCTAAGTATATAGTAATCCTTGTTGACATTGCATTTTCAGATTGATCTTAGACAGAGGAGAACTTATGACCAAAGAGCAATTAGATATGAGCAACTTGGCGATGAGTATAAAGAGTGAGGATCAAAATCCGCAAGTGTCGTTCTCGCCCAGCATCAAGTATGCGGCATCTGACGAATTTACCAGAAAATATCCGTAAGCGATTCTTACTATTTCATTCTATTGTGATTACAGTGTAGCTAGGGTATATTCGTATATATATATATATACATATATATGTATGTATGTATTATGTATATTCGCTGATCTTTGCCTGCCTCTTTGTAGATATATCGATACGCAATCAAATAAGAAGTTGAACGTATCGACCGCATTCCAATTGCTAGTAAGGCCAGGCTCGTATACGATTAATCCAGGTGACAAGGACAGCGCCGATCTACACTGCGAGTCCAGCAAATGGGCTACTAAGGAAGCCGGAGCCACGGTAATTGTCGCTCTGCTCGTCCATCTGGACGGATTTTAGTTCACGACCGTGTTAACGAAAGTGTTGCGGGACCCGTTTCTTCTTCGTCATGAAGAAGCAAGCCATGCAACGGACTGTGAATGATAGTGTACATACGTGCATCGAACGTTAACAGGACTGTGGTAAGACTCCCGGGATCGATGTTTCAATTCCGTCGAAATAGCGTTGTACATGTACGTTAGACTTGGCAAGTAAATTTTCTTGCATGCATTTAGACGATTGTTTCTCGAATACCAATTTGTGCGATAGTGCATTGAACGAGGTTTTAGTTACCTTCACGTTGTGTACAGTACAGATCATTGTGTGATAGCTATGTTGATTTATCGTTTGTGTAAGAATATACATTCGAACTCTATATAGGAAAAGATTTGCTATAGATCCGTTGAGCAACAATGAAATTTCTGTGACGCATTGTAAATGATTTAGTAAGTATACGTTTTGAAAGTTTTAAAGATATAACACACGTGTCACATTTGCTGCAACTGGCCTAGGTTAAACGCTCATCAGCAACAAATAGCGTATGAATATTTTACCGTGGCAGCAAAATAAATATATATATATATATATATATATATATATATATATATGTATATTTTTATATACATATAAAAGTAGACTTTTTATATGTCTATATAAATATAATATATATATTTATATATATATAAATATGTATACACACACACACATATATATTCGCAATGTCTATGCAAAGAGAACACAGTATTTTTGACGCCCGCGCTTCACACGCCTAATCAATATACCAAATCACTAAGTATTGCATTAGCAAGTGAATTTCTCGAGACACGATACAATTTTTTTAACGCACTTTTCCGCAGCATCGATAGAAAGGGGATCGTGTAATGTCTATGTTGTAGAAATAAATTATGCAAATGCAACTCGCATTGCCAACACCAAATTTGCGTTTGACGAATTAAAAGACATTCCTGTAGGAAATCTGCGAGTTTTGACAGGCAAATAAAGGAATCAGCGGCACAAATCGATAAGAACTTGATTAGCAAGGATCTCTGTGTAGGTTTTGTGCGAAAGGAATCGGTTGATTCTTAACATGGATATATTTTTTATAACATTTCGTTCAATGTTCTTCATGGATTGCTTCGGACAACACTTGCGTGTTACAAATCATGTGCTGTATTTAAACCCAAATTCGAACATTCTGATCCCAGGAGCAACTGGCCACTGCCATTCCGTTACCAGAGACGCTGAGCGACGTCACTCTATTCTCATGGGCTGACAAGACGCCTTAAACAGGAACGAGTATTTTATTAGGTTCTATATAATTAGCTAATTTTCACGTACATAGTCATATTCGAAGAAGCCGCTAAAATATGAAACAATGGATATATATCTGGATATATACTTGATTGTGATGCGATTGTTTTACAGAATATTATCTCATGATATAACCGGCGAATCAGTTAACTCACCATTATGTTGATTCTTCAACGTATCCCATATATGAATAGAATTGTCGTCACTGCCGCAAAAGATAAACCTGCCGCTCAAAGACAGGCCGCACGATGTAAAACCGGGGTTCGAGTTGGGTGGTTTAAAAGTGGCCAACTGTTGATCGGATCTCAAGTCCCACAGCCTCGCCGTCTTGTCCTCAGATGCTGTTACGAAACCTTGCCCGGAGGGGTGATACTAGAGAAACAGAGTGCGACGGTAGAGAATAAAAAATACCGACTGAGAGAGAGCACGTAATAGATCCGTAAGAAATTCACGAAATGTCTGAGGAACGGGCCGAGGCTTACGCAGACGGAGTTTACATCAGCGTCGTGACCGAAGAACGTCTGTTTAGCTTTCTCTTCCCGCAAGTCCCACAGTTTGCAAGTCTTGTCGACCGAGCCGGTGACGTAAGTATTGCCGTCAGGGGATAAGCTGATGCTCACCACGTCGCCCGCGTGCGCTTCAAAATCCGTTGTTTTTTTGTTAGCTTCGAGATCCCATATGCAACTGAATAAGCGTTCCACCGTCGATTATTGTTCGTAAGAAAAAATACCGTTCATTGCTTATCCCTTTGTATACATACACGATGTCCTAGAACTTTCTCTGCAATTTTTGTGGGAACGTAGGATGGATTGAGGTGAACGTAAAAGTCTCTCATACTGTTTCGTGATATTTTTAGTTATTAATGAAAGAAAATTGTTACATGATTATGCGCGATAATACATGAATCTCCTTTAATTAATATGTAAAGATCTATGTGATCATTTGCAAAATGGTAAGAGGACTTTTTTCTTCAGTTTGACTTAATGTATAAGTATGCAATGACAGACAGCACTACTACAGCTCATCTACCATATCGATCATTCATCAATCTTTAATTAATATCTCGATTATTATTGCGAATATCGCAAAACGATATAGGACTTTTATGTTCACCTCAATCCAATCTACGTTTCCACAAAAATTAGAGAATCTGGGACACCCTATATAATACTATAATTATTGTACATACATTTTCATGTCTCCAGATCCAGTGATGATCTTTTTGTCCTCGAGGAATCTGCAAGACGACAGAAATCCCTCGTAACCCAATAGCTCCCTTACGATTTTGGCTGAGCCTGTGGCGTCGCGATTGTTGACATCATAGACGGTGCACATGTTGTCCATACCGCCGCACGCGACGAAATTGCCGGACGGTGCGAAAGCCACAGACATCACCCAGGCCGAACGCAACGGGATGACCTGCACCTTGTTGCCGGTCCATGAATCCCAGATAATTAACTTTCCGTCCAGCGATCCGGTTACGCAATGTCTACAGGTAAAGCACAAGTCGATTCGGACACTTCAACTATTTTCAGTATTTATTATTAATATTTTATAAAAGATATATCGAAATACGCGATAAATTCTAAAAACTGTCAATGCATTATGGTCATTAAGTGGGAATAAAGAAAAAGTGACAGACACACATAATTGGGGATTCGTTACTAATTAAAACTGACCTACTATCACCGCTATAGTGCACCGAATTTACTTTATTGATGTGCCCCTTCAACAGCTTTTTAGTTGATAATTTAACTTTTGGAGCATTCGACACTCCACTGCAAGTCTCTTCCAACGTCGTATCTTGCTGCTTCTTTTGCTCTTCCTAACGAAGCAAGTCAGAAATGAATGGAAACGAATAAAACAAGTCTGATAAAATTCTCACTTCAATGTTCATGTGTGTGTGTATATATATACTACAATATTACTGCTACTCATAATTTATAGTAATGAAAGTTGTGCTAGGAATTTTTTTTTTAATTGCGATAAACTGCTCAAACCTTGCACTTGTTAATGAGGCTTTCTAGTTCCTTTTTTAAGGCTGCAGTTTCAGCGTCGTCTTTGCCCATTTTAGCACGTTCGAAATGCGGTACAGAGTTTCAACGAAGATTAGAAATAACGTGGAAACTAAATGCCACCGACGATCGACATGCGAAAACTACCAGTCGATTTCCGACAACACACAAAGGAAGCCTCAGGATCGTCTACCGCATTGCTCCAGTAATTGTATTAAGTCGCTGGTTAACTCGATTTGTTGGGCATTAGCTCGGCTCGTTCACATAACTTAATTACCTACATACACGAGATATTGTTAAGTGCATGATCATTGTTGATATAGGAGATATCAGGATATTTTTTTATTTGAAGAGAGAAGAGTCGATTAGAGAGTCGAGTAGGAGTCCGATTTGATGTTAATGTATATATGTGAGTATGTATATATGTGAGTATTTGCAGATTGGATCGGAGAGTTTCATTATAAAACTTTACGGGTCGATGACGACGTATTCGCACGGAATAGGAAATCACGCAAACAAAAGCGTTGTGGACACGGTGCGACGGTTAAAGCCAGCCGCTCTTTTTGACCACAAAAACCATCGACCGTTTCGCTTTCGAGTTTGCCGCTTTCTCCTATAAATGCTCGAATCTCTGATATTCATCGATGTGATTCAGTACGATCATTGGATGGCAATCAATTGGTGCGATAGGCATTAGTGCTATATTATCACTACTTTAAGGAAAACTTTGGCTATGTATAATTTTGTTTCATCGTTTTGTCGATAAAAACTGAAGTGAAATGGGGAATGTATAAATTAAGCAACACGATATATAGTTTAAACAGATATTGCAAATTATAGCGTGACAATAGTACGATTGTTACGTTACAGTCTAAATTTTTTAGACGCGTGCTAACAGTTAGAAAACGTGAAGATGCGAAGTGATCTGTCGAGAAGATTGATGCTGTCCATAATTTTGCTGTTATATCGCAGAGATTATCTCGCGGCAGGCAACGAACAAGTGTGCGAATCAAAGTTAAACCATGACGTTTATGTGCCTTTGAACGATCTTTCATGCCAAGACGATGCTTTGGATATTAAGTCGCTTGTCGTCGAGCGATATAAACCAACGAGGAAACCGAGCGAATCACACTTTGAGACTACAGGTATTTTATCTCTTGCAATTATACGCCGCAATTAATCGCAGTGGGATATTAGTATCAAAATTTCATTTCTCTCTCTTTCTCTCTCTCTGTGAAACGCTATATATTTTAAATAGATTGTCGCATCAATTTAGATAATGTTCCATGAGCGATGTGTAATTACTTTGATTGTCGATATTTGATATCTTGAAGACTCTTAAAAGTATTGACTAGTGATATTTTTTACTACATTGACAGGGCAGACGCGAACTATCCATAACGATGGTCGCGGTAAAAATGACCACTTTGTGTTTCTCGCGATCCTCGTCGCAGAGATGGCAACTCTTATACGTTGTTCGAGATTCGCTCTCGATGGCAGAGCCGTAACTAGACTATAGCATACGTCGCTTTGAACAGTCGGCATTTTTACTAAACAGCAAACACAAAATACCAAGCATGTGCGATATCATTTTTATACAAAGACATTTTTCTTTACTTGATCTAAGTTTTTATTATTTTACTCAACTTTATTGTCATACATTTATTGTCTTAGGTGTGCATAAAAAATTGCATCCACATTTTATGTAAACTTTGGCCTGCTGGCAACTACCTTTACACATATCGCCAATATTCGTAACGTCAAATTACTTTAAGTTGAACTATATTTTAAATCGTTAGATTTCCTTTTCAAAAATTCATTGTAAATAAATGTCGCTTTAATTATTACACTTTCGTAGGGTAGGAAAGTAATTGGACGTAGGCGCTGTAATTCTTAGCTACGGCTCTGCTCGGCGGTTTCCGTCGATTTTCGCGGCCGCGGCGCGCAGTCGGTGCTAAGCGACGCCAAGTGACGGACGTGAGTGTGCGTCTTCGAGGAGCGGCGGCGCGGATCACGACCTCGCGGTCGGTCTGTCAGTCAGTGCGTTTGAAACACACACATACACATAGAAAGACAGAGAGAGAGAGAGAGAGAGAAAGAGAGAGAGAAAGAGATGTACAGCAGCAAGGGAATAACGATCAGATGCTGGCTCGTGTGGTGCTGCGTTTTCCTGACGTACCACGTGGTCAGCGAGGCACCAGCCGACACTAATGGTATGATGCGATCGCCCTTTTGTCAACGACCAAAATGCCGACGGATAAATCCGTGCCGGTGTGTCGCAGCGAAGATCGATACAAGGTCCTTAGCGAAACGTTCGATTTCCCTGAGCGCTGCTGCTTGAAAACTCGACAAGCCAACAAGGGGTGTCGTAAAAATCAAGACGTGTAGACTTCTCCGATTCTTTTTTATTTATTTTTTTTAATTATGCCTGCTTATACTGCGTGTAATATTTAAATGATTCATGTGGATTATATTCGATTATTTGAAGAGAGTAGATTTTTTGTTTTATATCGTAGTTAATTATTGAGAAAAATTCCAATTTCTTTCAACAAACTATATTATACTATATTATACGCATTTTAGTAAAAAAAAGGAATTGCAAAAAAAGGTAATTAAAAATACATTTGATCGTGTAGCGATTTACACTCGTTTTCTCTCTCATATTTGTAACGTCTTGGTGCACTTTGAACACCCACGCGTTGGCCTCTGGTGAAAATATCCAATTTAAGAATCTTATTTTTTTTGTTACGCGCGCAATCGCATCTTGAAAGACGAATTATAAACTATTGTGCGACGAAGAGTTATATTATATATCATTATTATATAATAATACATTATTTATATATATTTTTTTTTGAGAAAGAGCGAGGGAGTAATAGCGAAAGTCATAGTTCGATGACCCCGATCAGTTGGCGACGAGAATCAGGGTTTTTTTCCTGTTGGATGCGTTACGTGCCTGAAAGAATTAACTTTGACCGCGAAAACGTTATATATCTTATCGCACGCGTTGTTCTTTATATTTCTACTATTTTACTGGACTAAATTGAAACGCTAAAACTAGAAGAAATTATTACTCTATTGTACTTTACAGATTGAATTTTTCTTTTAGCGGAAGTTATCCGGGCATTAATCTGTTTTGCTTGAACAATGAATCATGAAACAAATTATATATGATGCATTTATAGAAAGAATTACTTATTATATTGCACCTTATATATATCTAACTAATCGAGAATATTGTTCTTACAAATATACACGAATTCGGAGAATTGCTGTGACGAAGTCACAGCAACTATCTATGGTTTATCTTTTAAGATTCACTAATGACCTAACGAGTATGTAGCATGGTTTAACGATTTTGCTTGTGGAATGTGAATTTACTTTGTCTTCGTTTCTTGTCGCCGCGCAATCCGATCATAGTCCATATCACTCTATTTCTGGTGTTGTTCGTAACAAACGTAAGCTGCCCTAGATGTAAAATCTCTTGATGCAGGACAGTTGTTTTACAATGTGAAACTTTACACGAATCGTCTGTCTAAACTGAAAAATTATAAGCGCAATTATTAAATTAAGATAATTTCGTTAATACGATGTACACTTAAATTTTTGTAGCTGCGCGCATCTATTCGTAAGCCGTTCGACAAAACTGAATATTTTAATCTCGCGCGAGTTTCAGGTTGTTCTTCAAGCTCCCTTTAATACTTTTCTCCATTTGATCCTCTTCGTCGCTTCTTCCATGAATTTAGCCTGTTCTAAGAATATCTTAGAGTAGCTTGCGTAAGGATATCGAGCTCAGTAATACAAGAGTGGCGGGCGATAGCACGCCCTCGCGTCGCGTGAATGTAACCGGCGAACGTGCCGCGGCTCTCGCGGGCGCTACTTTTCGACGTGACATCACGAGCCCTGCGTAATACTAACGAGTTGACCATCTGGCTAACAATGGCGGAACAACTCGGTCCCGCAACTTGATGATGACTTACAAAAGCGGTCTGTTCTTCGAACACCGCGCCAGAACTGCGAGAATACGCAGTTTTTCTTCCGGGATGAAAATCTCGTGATTTTGTTCAGTTTTCATGAGCGAAAATGATCTTGTAAAAATGCGACTGCCACAATTTCTCCTCTCTGTATCACTTCGATCATTTCTTTCTCCATTTTGAATTGTATTTTAGATGTCCTTGTATTCACCGTCGCCTCCAACGAGACGGATGGCTTCCGAAGGTATCAGAGGTCAGTCGAAATCTATGGATTTCGCGATAACTTGAAGATCCTCGGTCTGGGAGACTCGTGGAAGGGCGGTAAAGTAACCTACGAGCCCGGAGGTGGATACAAAGTTAATCTTTTGAGAAAGGCGCTAGAGGATTATCGAAACGATGAAAAGAAAATCGTCTTATTCACCGACAGGTTGGTATATTCTGACGCTGCAGAAAAAAATATTTTACAGCTGGTACAAATGTCATTTTATACTTCTTATGCTTCCAGTTACGATGTGATATTCCTCGGCGGTCTGTCCGCCATAGTTGAGCGATTCCTGAACACCGGCGCTCGAATTTTATTTGCCGCGGAGGGATATTGCTGGCCGGATAGATCTCTTGCGAGCCAATATCCGCCGGTGTCGAGAGGCAAACGATATCTAAATTCAGGATCCTTTATTGGATACGCCACTGACTTACTCGCTATCCTAAACACCGCTCCCATCGAGGACCTGGCCGATGACCAATTGTTCTACACGACTGCGTACCTGAACGACGAGCTCAGAGCGCGGCATCAGATCAAGTTGGATCACAAATCCGACATATTCCAGAATCTCAACGGTGCGGTAGGTGAGAGCAAGCAGAATTAAACGGAGGAAAAGAGTCTCGGTAGCAGCAGCGGCCGTGCTTTAACTACCATCGCCGATTTTTGCAGCCGACGTGGAGCTCAGGTTCAAAGGGGAAGAGGCATATCTCCAAAACATCGTCTATAATACAGTACCTCTGGTGCTCCACGGTAATGGGTTTAGCAAACTGGTTTTAAATTCCCTCGGCAATTACCTAGCTCGCGCCTGGACGTCGTACGAAGGATGTTTAGCCTGTTGGGACCGAACTATCGAGCTGGACAAGACCAAACCGGAGGCATACCCGGTTATCTTGATAGCCGTTTTCATCGAACGACCGGTGCCGTTCTTGGAGGAATTCTTCGAGACTATTTATCGCCAGTCCTATCCAAAATCGAGACTGCATTTGTTCGTTCACAACGCCGTACCGCATCACGAGAGCGTAGTGACGGACTTCTACGAAAGAGTTAGTCAGGAGTATGTGAGCGCGAACTACATATCGGCGAAGCAAGAAGCCAACGAAGTTCACGCTAGAAAACTGGCCATGTGAGTATCGACAACAAATTCGACATTTCGTCAGGATGCAGTTTTGCATACACCTTCGTTATGCATGCACGTAACGCTTAACGTCGCAGCGAAGAGTAAAGAGACGCACGGAGAAAGATTTAAAGAACCGTTTGTTTCGCAGGAAACATTGTCTGTTCAACAAGTGCTCCGGATATTTCTCAGTCGATGCGGTCGCGCACTTGGACAACGAGCACACGTTGAAGTTGCTGGTGGAGCAACAGAGAGGGATCGTCGCGCCCTTACTCATTCGGCCGTACAAGGCGTGGAGCAACTTCTGGGGTGCCATTACGGACGACGGATTTTACGCGCGAAGCTTCGACTATATGGAGATAATAAAAAACGAACGCAGGTAAAGCGGACACACGGATACTAATTCCTCACGTTTCGTTCGAGTAAACTGCGACCGTTTATTTGATATCGATGACTATCTCAAAGAGAAGATTGTTACTAAATGTTACTAAAAAAGTCAATTTCTCTATCGCTTCGACACAGGATCAAGAATAATTTCGTGATGTTGAAGTAGAACAATTTAGTTTTCCCTTTTTTCGCATTACAGTGAAATACATAGAGTGTTCTAAATCGGTTCTTTAGAATCTACCGCTTCATAGTGTCTATTGTAAAAATTTAACACCCTACCTCGGCTTAATTAACGTATCTGTATCACGTTCACGTTAATCGAAAGCGATGGAGAAATCAGTTTTGAAAGACCTGCGATCGATACTGTACATATTGTCCGCTGTGCACTCATAAACTCCTGCGTCCATCTGAGTGGCGGGATCAATCTCTAGTTTCGATTTCACCTTGTCAGGTCCCACTTGCCACTCGTGTATCTGTCGAAAAGCGTAAAGTATTATTTCCAGTGCAGTGCAGTTCGATCAAGTAAATGCAAATATTTGTTCTTGGAGCGGCAACGAATGATATCAACGCTCGCGAGCGTTAAATATCCTTTCGTCGCTTCGTATATGTTGAGAATACACTGACGTGTAAATACAGATGGGTGTAAATCTCGGTGCCATCTTTGAACCAGGTGATCTGTGGTCGCGGGGTGCCACGAGCGACGCAGAGGAAAGCTATCTTGTGTCCCAGAACATACTCGAGATCGAAGTGCGACGCCAGCAATATCTTGGCTCCCTTAAAAAACCATCATATTTCGGTAACAACAGACTCGAGATAGTACGGTAATTAAGAGACACGGCAAAGTTCTTTTTAGAAACTACTCTTCTTACGTACGTCGTTGTTGTTGTAATACTGATCGCTCTCCGGATCACGATATTTCCCGGTAATGGGCAATCCAATTTGCACACGGGACTTGCTTCTGCCTCTCGTCCGCCCTCTTCGACCAAACGCCTCTCGGCAATTCAGTAGCAGTATACTCAGCAGGATCAGCAGCAGCATGGAGCGTGACATGATAATCTGCTGGAAGCGAAATATTCGACGTTAGCACACGCAATTTTGTCTCATTATATACGGTTCGACGAACCATTCGATCGATCGCGCCAATTTCAATTACTTCCTAAATCGGTTCACGAGAGGGTCGATCGAAATTGATATCGATCCTTCGTAATTACGAATTATTGGTACGTTGCACTGTCACGGGTGCTGGAATCGCGCCTGCCGCACATTTATCCGAGCGAATGCACTGTGGGTACTCACTGTGTGCAGGAACGTTCGTCGATCACACGGAACTCCGATGCTACTGACAGTCACCGACTCATTACTCCCCTAGTGTCCTCTCGTATCTATTACAGACTTATGTGCAGATATACCGTACAGGGTATATGTATTGCTCGTACGTGCTCTGGTTATTTATTTGACACGACGTGATCATTGTCGTTTCTATCAAATCTACGGGCCGCTTATCCATTAATTCCAACCGTGTCTATTCGTTCCGGATGATTTATGCTACGACGCATTTTACGACTCGAATTACCTTTCAATTCATGATCCACGCATCTCGACTGTATGAATTAATTAATATTTACGAGGGCACGCGCGACATTGGTCGTGTTTCAAATTGTTTCAACGTGAAAACTGCGTGAGAAAGAGAGAGAGAGAGAGAGAGAGAGAGAGAGAGAGAGAGAGAGAGAGAGAGAAAAAGAAACATAGAAGGGAGAGAGATAGAGAATGCGAATTCAATTGAACGGAAATAAGCGCGCTCGAAGAATCTGTGCAAATGATTTATTTCACGTGGTGCTACAGATTTGCCGTGTTCGTACCGTTGGCAACGCAATAAAGTTATACCCTTCCATGCCACTTTCGTGCGACATGACGCAATTGACTCGTTAAATTCGCGCTGATGAACCATTTTCAATGTATTCCTCTCGCGCTACAGACGTATATCACCCTTGTAACAGTCAATTATGCTTTAACGAATAAGAACTGGGGAAATCACCGGATTTGTTATTCGTATCTGCGTATCATGTCTCATCGACACTCTCAACGAAAAAAATCTATCGTTTCACTTGCGTTAGAAAAGAGAGAAGCGGACTATTTTTTTTTTTTTTATAATGCAAACTATTTCGCGACGTTATAATGTATAAATATTATCAAACGGATAATAGCCACGTGAGGAGTCGGTAGGAAAACAGGCTTCGTCGGTGCAAACCATGGAGAAAAATCTCTGCTTTCTCGCATTAAGGAAACGGGCGGAATGTTTTACAATGTAAATTTTACATCTCGCTTGATCAGTCTTGTCGATTATTCGTGTAAAAGTTCAGCTAATTTCGTAGAAATCTCAGAATATGCCTCTCCGATTAGTTATATAAACGGTAACTACTTTAACAATATATAACGTCAGATGTTTGCCTTTCAGATAAAAATCTATCGGTCTACACTCGTGCTGGGTGCTGCGCGATCATAGAGCCTACAATTGGTGAACGCGTTTAATACGAGATCATGACATAGTCCGTTCTGAAGCCTCGGCGATCAACGGCATACTGATTGTCCGCCTGACACTCATAATATCCTGCGTCCTTTTGTGTTGCCGGATCGATCTCCATTTTCGACTTTATCGTGTCGTTGCCAACGGGCCATTCGTGCACCTACGAATTTAAATCGATGTCCTCAGTTCTCGCGCCCCTAAGCCTAAGCCGTTTGGTACTCTCTTCTAATGGTGAATCTCTTTTAGGACAGCGAATCTCTCGTTTGATCGGCTGATTAGCTTACCTGGAAGAACTTGTGATGGTACAGCTCGATTCCATCCTTCAGCCAAGTGATTTCCGGTCTTGGAAAACCCGTAGCCATGCAGAAGAACGTGATCTTTCTGCCCAACATGTAATCCAGTTCAAAATGGGACGCTTTTACGATCTTTGCACCCTGCGAAAAAAAACTGCCGTCGTCAAAACGTCACTGACTGCAGACGCGTGCGTGTGTGTGCGCGCGCGCGCGCATACACACACATACACACATAACACGCGGCGCGCACGCACAAATGATCGACTCACATCTTTGTTCTCGTAATAATGCGCACTGGCAGGATTTCGGTGAGGTATCAAAATAGGCATTCGCGAGCCGTAAACTCTCCCTCGGCCGCGACCTCTGGCAGCCCCTCTACCGCCGCCCTTCGCCGCTTCTGTGCTCATCATTAGAGCAGTTAGTAAGAACAAATAGAGCAGCCTCGGCATCTCGTCATTTGATCTACAAGCAGAGAGAAACTCGTCGACCGGTGTGACCAACGCGCGGGCTGAAACACTTGTCCTCTCCGCGAGCACCGTACAAGCACGATCTCCGAACTCATACGCGCCGCGTTATATATCAGTTCTCACTATCGACTGTAAAAGGATTCGATAACGATTCGATGAAGAGATTAATGAACGACCCGCTCGGCCCGTTCGACTAACGCGCTCAATCTACTGTATAAATTGCACGCTTGTCCGACGTAATTCGTCGAGATAATGCGCCTCTCTCGCCCTTACCGAGGATTCCAAGGATCCTTTGCTGACCTCTGACACGCAAAGCGTATTCCGGAGATTGGATCCGCTAGGTCCTACCACCTAAAATACGAATGGACCACGCGCGGTGGATCCACGCAGCCGCTGGTGTGACAGAGTTATGAATCTCAATTGGATAATTATGCATAACCCATTGCCAAGTATGCTCTCATCGGCCAATCGCGGCACCACAGCGACTACCTTACAAAACACTTAAGCGATGACCTCTGGGAAACAACACCACGTTATCGCCATGGACGACAAACAAGTGCGTCTGCGTTGGCTCGCCGCTCACCGCACATTGCGCGTCCTTCTGTCGCGTCGCCATCCTCTCGTTCTCCCTCGCACTTCACCGGAATCACATTGACGTCTGTTTCAGGGGACTGTGGAACGTGCCGTTCGTCAGTAACTGCTATCTTATCAACGCCACTATCCTAAACAACGAGACGATCCGTCCGTTTTACGGGAACCCGGATGGCAACTCGGACACAGACATGGACACGGAAATGGCTTTTGCCCAACGAAACCGGCACCATGGTGTGTTCATGTACGTCAGCAACAGGCTTGACTTTGGCCACCTCGTCAATCCCGATACCTACGACATCCAACTCGTGTATCCGGACATGTACCAGATCATGGACAACAAATTGGACTGGGAGAGAAGATATATTCATTCCAACTACAGTGAGAGCTTCAATCCTGACAAGAAGCCGATTCAGGTAGTAAACGCTAGGCAGCCAACCGAGTCTTTTTTTGTATCGCTGCTGTCATCATCGTTGTTTCACGTACATATAAATTCCGCGGTAACGAATTACGTTAGAAATGAGAATATCCGAAATATTTGTAAAATATGTTGATACGTATCCAAAAAAATTATATTTGCAATTGTGATTAAGCACACTTCTAAAATACTCCAAATATCTTTCTCTTTTGCTCTAGCAATCAACAAATTACCGTCAAATTAACACGATAGCCAGCCTTCTTTTTTAACTATTACATTTCCTCATGATTTTGTTACGTTAATTTTATGTTATTAATTGCTAGAACAAAAGGAAAGTGTTCGGAATATTTTGGATGTGTACTTAATCGATTACAAGTATTATTTTTGGATACATCTTTTTTTTCAATGTATTTTGCAGAAATTTTCAACATTCATTTTTCTTTGACGTTATAAGTCGAGATGAGCATCCAGAAGCCTTCGAAAGTTTATTCATTTGAACTAAAATGCTTCAAATTACGTAAAACTTTAACGTAACATTTATCGCAGTAAGACACATTCGTGGTTGAAGTTTTATGCGATTTGTCTTTTCATGCGAAATATAATACTGAATATCATAATTTTACACAACCTTACATAAAGAATAGCGTTCACTACACCGTAGTTTTTGTGTAATGGTAGACTTTAGAAGTTAGAAAACTATTGTTTTATGCCTCTTTAGGTAGCACTGTACAGAGTGAAACGTAATAAGATAGTGTCATAAAATTAGTTTCCTGAAAATATATACATAATGAATAAACTTCTTCATGTTCATTGTTTGCAGCCGTGTCCCGATGTCTACTGGTTCCCCATTGTTACTCGCAGATTCACGAAGGAACTCATAGGGATCGTCGAGTCTTTCGGGCAATGGTCGGACGGATCTAATCACGTAAGCTGCTCCTTTAATCGGCGAGTTTTCGAGTATCTCTCTTATCTATATAATGCAGCTAAATAATTGCACTTTTGCAATAACTTTCTCGGCAGGATCCACGCTTGTCGGGTGGTTACGAAAATGTACCGACCCGCGACATTCACATGAATCAAGTTCAGTATGAGCAACAGTGGTTGTACTTCTTGAAAGAATATGTTAGACCCTTACAGGAGCTCGTTTTCACCGGCTACTATCATGACGTAAGATTCGCACGATGTTAACTTACGTGTGTGCGCATGGTCGTTTTTAGGATCCGCGCTTGGACTCCGGATACGAAGCGGTACCGACCCGAGATATTCACATGAACCAGGTCGATCTGCAAGATGTCTGGTTAAAATTTCTCAAAGATTACGTCAGTCCTTTGCAACAGCTTGTCTTTACAGGATACGACGACTACGTAAGACTTTGAGTAAAGTCCAAATATGTACGGAGTTGGTTTTAACGCGCGCACAGATTCCGATATCTACATGCACTCTTCTAAACGCACAGGTTTTGGGTTTGATGCGATCCGCTCGTAGTTGGGTTGTACCGCTTCGTAACGGACGATTGGTACTTATGCTTCATGCACACGTAGATTTTTTAGTTACGCAAAAAATATTACGAGTAAAAGCTACGTTTCTCGCTACGTTCCATTTTGGGCTGTTGTGTCATATCAAGTTTCGTGTCGACAGCCGCCGCGATCGCTCATGAACTTCGTCGTGAGGTATCGTCCGGACGAGCAGCCGTTCTTGAGGCCGCACCACGACTCGTCAACATATACCATCAACATCGCTCTGAATCAAGCGGGAGTCGATTACGAGGGCGGCGGATGCAAGTTCATCCGATACAACTGTTCGGTCACCGACACGAAGCCAGGCTGGATGCTGATGCACCCTGGAAGGCTGACGCACTATCACGAAGGGCTGCGTGTGATCGCGGGCACGCGTTACATTATGATCTCCTTCGTGGATCCGTGAACACTCAAATCCGCTCTTTGTTAACGAAAGATTAGGTACTAATGCAAGCGGATAATGACGAAAAAAGAAAAAGGAAAGATAATTGGAGGTATTAGAGAGAAACCAGATTCTATATCGACTAGTTTGTTGTTATCGATTAGAGAAACGTCAATTGTCACCGATGGACTGAACAGTGCATTTAATAAGCCGGGAAAACCGCTCGATCGATGTATTATTTTTTTACTCCAATGTCTACATTGCGCGCCTAATCATGCTTTATATTTAGTAGGATCGCAATTTTTTACAAAGACGAAATTGTAATTATAATTAATAATTACACTCGTTGAAATATATATCTGAATTCACTGGTTTTCGAATGTATATATATATAGGGATCGCTGATAAAATTTATAGTAACTAACGTTACTAAACATAATAGATATTGTCATTCAGTCGCGTTAACTCTATCTCTGATATTATTCTTGGATATGGCCGGAAGGAAAGAGATTCAACATCTTTTCCAGCTTAACGTTTTCGTTTTCAATCTTTCATTGTGTCTATACAATTTTTGCAATATGTTACAACATTAGGAACATTAACAGGATAAATAATTAAAAGTAACGTCACCGAATAGCAAATTTTCAAAAATCGATTTAATTACAACGTTGCCCGTTTATTTACATAGTAAAAAACGTACCTCCGTCAGAGTTGATCATGACGGTACACGAGAGACGTGCACAACTAATATTATTAAAGCCTTGTCGTTTACACTATAGAGTAAGTACTCATTGAAGCAACTCATTACACGGTTGTTCAACGCGATTTAACTCTCCTGGCCATTTACTCCGTTTCTTTTCTCCTGTTACCTGTGTGTTCGAAATACACTGTAACATCGCCTTAATTCCAACTTTAAAACACTTGTTCTTTGACCACTTTGTACGTTTAGCGCCGCTTGTCAATGTAATGTTTCGTTCTGGAATGCCATGCGTTTTAAAGCAATTGAGAATGTAGCGAATAAGTAACAAGCGAATTATATAACACGTTTACACATTGTAAAAATGCTTCTCTCTGTCGAAATAGCCACATTAGATATTTGGTCACGAATCACGAATGCTAGTTTAAATTCACAATAACGTTTAATTTAACTAAATCTTATTTACAGTTTTGTTCGATTCCCCCCTATAGAAAAAAAATGAGTATATATGTATACTCTCTTTTCTGTTTTTCTCTCTCTCTCTCTCCCTCTCTCTTCTCTCTCTTTTTTCTCCCTTTATCCTTCTCTGGTGTTTCAGTAACCAGCCCGTTTCAATTCGTTCAACTGATGCGCCAATTTCTCTTCTTTAGTTCGTCTTGCTTGGCCCAACTTTCGACACTCTATATATGTGCTGAGAAAACGCTCGACGTCGATCTTTCTATTGAGAAAATCCTCGGCGATCTTCTCGCTTTCTTCGTGGCTCTCGTCTGCCGCTAATTTCAGACATTCTTTTATGTGGTCCGGCGTGAAAACCTCGGATAGTTTATTGTATCGTTGTATAAGATGGTCGTATCTGGCTTTCAGCACAGCCACCGTTTTTACCTTATTTGCTACGTCAGCTTGCAACTGTCTCAGCTCGGGTTCTTTGGTTACATTAGCTTCTGCACAGGAAGATGATACAAATTTATGAATAATATGTTAAGTTAGAATACAGTCGATAGATACATATTACATAGATAGAAGACGTGTCTCATAATCAAGAGATGACAAAGTATTCTTACTCACCGGCAGTTTTTTCAACCCAATCCATAGCGTCTTCGATCGCTGCGTTTATGTCTTTAATTTGGGAATGTTTCTCCAGAAAATCGTCCAGTCTATCTTCGTCCTCGCTGAGCCTCTTCAATTCCTCGTTAGTCAAGTTATTTAATTCGGGAAATATTATACTCTGCGGGACTTTTGCTTGCGACTGACTTGGCAACGGTTGCTGATAATTAGTACTTGCATAGTGCGAATTCAGGTAGGCCGTGCCGTGCTGATTCGAGGTGTACCTCGCAGGTGTAGTATTGTGGAGGGCACTCCTCGAGCTTGGAATATACGCCGTATGGTGCGACGTACCGCCGAACGACTTCGAATTTGAAACATACGTGTGACCGGAGCTTGTATAATTACAGTTGTAAATGCTCGTGTTCGCACTGGAGGACGATAAGTGCGGGAATTGCGTACTGTAATACGAATTGAACGACGTAGACGGAATCTCGGGATACTGTTGAAGCGCATAAGACGGCGAGTTTCTCTCTTGTAAGTCTGCAAGTCAAAAATTTATTCAACAACAGTTGTGTGATAAGTTAGAGTGGAACAAAGTATATTTGTTTCACAATTTATTGCACTAGTGTACAAGTTCTTTGAAAACGAACGTATAGACACGGAAAGTAAACGATATGAGACATACCTCTGTGGGATTTAGTAGAGCCAGGTGAAATATCCTCCAACAACTGGGGTGGATTCTTGCTGAATTCTCTGATAATAGCCTGAACAACTCGACCAAGATCACTATGTACTGAAAACTAGCACACAAACAGCAAGAATAATTGTTATCTTTCAAGTATAAAATAAAAAGAAAAAAAAGAAATAGGAGAAATATCCAAGTGTGAATAGAAGATAATTTGTAATGTCATTGTGCAACTTTTTCCATAACTCACATTGAGTAATCCTGGCGCACTAGTGATTTCACTGTGTTCATTGCACCAGGGATGGCTTATCGGTGGGGAAACTCTAAGTACTGGCTTTTCCAATGGAAAATTTGGCGACAAGGAAACCATAATAGCCATTCGCCTTTCGCCAGCATGAAATTCCACCTGATAGTCCACATCTTCTCTGAGCTCTATTACACTGTAACACATCAATATATGACACTACTGCACCCAATGTTCATGACGAAATGTAAGATCAACGATGACCTTGAGTTCAAGTTGACTTCGCGTTTTATCGATTTTATATTTTCCCTTTCAGTTATAAAGGATTACTTCGAAGAAGTATGACGTTTGCGCGATTAAAGCAAATGACTCAGAGGTCAGTGAGACAAATTTCAGGCGGAAGCAATATTGTTTTCATAGTCGACAAATTTTTGATCGTCCTCCCGATATAAAAGAATACGAAAGGGATGATAAACATAGCGATTAAACCGATTATTAAGTCGATTTCATGGTGCGCGTGGCCGTTCGCGAGAGCGATAATATTAGCAATAATATGACTCAAATGAGGTTAACGAGAGGTTATAACGATTGACGAGAGGCTAGAGAATAACCCTTACTTGTCGTTAAAGATTTTTAGAGTGTCGATTTGCCGTTTGCGTTTGAGCGCGACATTCTCATTTTCTCCACGGAATATTCGCGATATCATTTAAGAGCCTGGATGTCTGATAAATCATTCGCTTTATCCGTCGATCTTCCTGTCAAAGCAACCATCCAGCAGAACAGCTGTTTTAAATCCCGTCGCACTTCACGTAGAGAGGTCAGAATCGCGATATGAATAAAGCCCGTCCTACAATACACGTTGCATTGCCTTTGGAGGATACAACGCATGCGTACTGAGATATTAGATGTCTCATCTTCAAGTTTTCATCGGCAAGTCGGACGTTGCTGTTCCTTCCTTCCTTCCTTCCTTCTTTTTGGTTATTGGCTTTCAGCCTTATGCACAATGCGAGACAACAGGCAATAGGAATAGACATTAAGGTCGTTCTACATCAGCCGATTGCAAGCCAATCGCAGGCAGACGTAATTCTTATTGTGACAGCCAATCAGAAGCATCAATGGTACTATTGACGCTTCTGATTGGCTGTCGCAACAAGAGTTACAATCGACTTGCAACTAATGTAGAACGACCTTTAAGCCAGTGTCATACTACGAATTGGAAATTGAGAATTGCGGATTGAAGATTAGATTTCAACGAATCAATGCACTTTGGTCTTGGCTTGCTTGGCTCCAATTGATCAAGTTCCAATCTTTAATCCGCAATCCTTCATCTCCAATAGTGTAATGCAGGATTCACACTGCGTCCGATGTCCAACTATGACGTCCGATATCCAATAAAAGAATAGCTTTCCAATAGAGAATTGAATTCTATATTAGACAGTTGTTCTCCTATTGGATATCGAACATCGTACGTCGGTCATCGAACGCGGTGTGAATCCTGCATTAGACGACAAAACATAGAGTATTCGGAGTCCAATGTATACTATGGATGCTTTTCAATTGCTTAACACATCTTGACACACACAAGTACACAAAACCAGTTTATTGGTCACATATTATCTAAAATATCTTGTAAGATAATATGCAACCAATAAACTGGTTGTAAAACAGTTTTGTGTAACACAGTTACGTAACTGAAAAGCACTCAATGTCCATACCTATGGTTTGGTTTACATCGTGTACTTGATATTTGTACTAAATATTAACTTTCTATTAGATAATCTTAATATCGATGATATAATCAATGGTATATTAAGCTGGTATAATACTCATCAAGAAAATGTATTGTATTGATTGAATGCGTCGCCATTGATATGCATTGTCAATATTAAGATTATCTAATAGAAAGTTACTACTTAGTACTTAGTATTAAGTGTACGATGTAAACCAAGCCTACATGTATCACATTTACGGAAATTGCCCAATTAATAGCGGCACCAATCAGAGAAGACAGTACGGTTAGCGCTATCTTGTAGCTCCGCGAACATCCTGTAGTGCTAAATGGAGCTGACAGCGAGCTCCGTGAACGCACCCCATGTGTAGCAAGTCCGCTAGAGTTCCGTTCCGTAAAATCATTGCCATGGGGAACCCGGCGACGAAGCAACGGAACAGAGCGATAGCGGAATCATTCTCATTGGTTACGTTTTACCTAGTTTCTTTTCCGTGAGAGTGCAAATCATCAATATATATAGCACTGAAACATTGTGCCGAAATTGTATTGACAGACGCAGAAAGAGACAAGACAATGTGTGGGAGCGGTTTATGGAGCAACGGGGCCACGAGGCATTTACAATTCTATTATTTTAATTAATTTTTGTTATAACAGTAAGAATATAGGATATAAGGTAAAGGTGAAATATAAAAATGTTTATAGAGTAAATAAGAAATTTGTGATATATATGTATTACACATACATGTAATCATATGTAGTAACGTATGTTCTCAACTTTTAAGGATACGATACTGTTCCCTTTCTCTTCTTAGGGGCACCACACACGAATTGACATAACAGTAACCATAAGACGTACCGTAAAAATGGACCAATTACAATCGAGTATTCACAAAAACAGCGACCTTACGGCTCGACGATACTCAAAGGCCCATATTCTGAATCCTCTTTTATCGATAAAAATGCCTTAAATGTAGCTTCTCAGCCAATCAGATAGCTCCTAAGCCTCTTTTAGAGGCACTTTTATAGATAAAAGAGAGTTCAGAATATGGGACAAAGTGATTGGTCAATTCATACGGTGCGTCTTACGTTACTGTATGTCAATTAGTATGCGGCGCCCCTTAGACAAAACTCAACCAATGAACAGAGAGTAGAAAGAAAAATCCGTGCCCACACATCTAGCTTTTTCTTTCTAAGTGCGCTTCGAAAACTTAGCATACCTTTGTTTAAAAGTCTATATTTTTGTATTTAATGACCGGAACTATTTAAAATTGTTGCAAAGAGCTCTAGAACTTTTCAAGAGGGTATCAGAACTGCAAAAAAAATGGCACATTTTGAAATATGGTGTGCCAAGTCTTGGCACACCATATTTCAAAATGTGCCATTTTTTTGCAGTTCTGATACTCTCTTGAAAAGTTCTAGAGCTCTTTGCAACAATTTTCAATAGCTCCGGTCATTAAATACAAAAAAATAGACTTTTAAAAAAAGGTGCGCTAAGTTCTCGCAGCGCACCTAATCAAACAAACTATTTAAATTAACTATTTCTTTAAAGTTCCGGTTTGTTTTACAATAGTTCTAGAGTTCTATATCATATATAACAATAGTTTTAAAGAAATAGTTGATTTTACTGATTAAGTGCGCTTCGAGAACTTAGCGCACCTTTTTTTAAAGGTCTATTTTTTTGTATTTAATAACCGGAACTATTGAAAATTGTTGCAAAGAGCTCTAGAACTTTTCAAGAGGGTATCAGAACTGCAAAAAAAATGGCACATTTTGAAATATGGTGTGCCAAGTCTTGGCACACCATATTTCAAAATGTGCCATTTTTTTGCAGTTCTGATACTCTCTTGAAAAGTTCTAGAGCTCTTTGCAACAATTTTCAATAGCTCCGGTCATTAAATACAAAAAAATAGACTTTTAAAAAAAGGTGCGCTAAGTTCTCGCAGCGCACCTAATCAAACAAACTATTTAAATTAACTATTTCTTTAAAGTTCCGGTTTGTTTTACAATAGTTCTAGAGTTCTATATCATATATAACAATAGTTTTAAAGAAATAGTTGATTTTACTGATTAAGTGCGCTTCGAGAACTTAGCGCACCTTTTTTTAAAGGTCTATTTTTTTGTATTTAATAACCGGAACTATTGAAAATTGTTGCAAAGAGCTCTAGAACTTTTCAAGAGGGTATCAGAACTGCAAAAAAAATGGCACATTTTGAAATATGGTGTGCCAAGTCTTGGCACACCATATTTCAAAATGTGCCATTTTTTTGCAGTTCTGATACTCTCTTGAAAAGTTCTAGAGCTCTTTGCAACAATTTTCAATAGCTCCGGTCATTAAATACAAAAAAATAGACTTTTAAAAAAAGGTGCGCTAAGTTCTCGCAGCGCACCTAATCAAACAAACTATTTAAATTAACTATTTCTTTAAAGTTCCGGTTTGTTTTACAATAGTTCTAGAGTTCTATATCATATATAACAATAGTTTTAAAGAAATAGTTGATTTTACTGATTAAGTGCGCTTCGAGAACTTAGCGCACCTTTTTTTAAAGGTCTATTTTTTTGTATTTAATAACCGGAACTATTGAAAATTGTTGCAAAGAGCTCTAGAACTTTTCAAGAGGGTATCAGAACTGCAAAAAAAATGGCACATTTTGAAATATGGTGTGCCAAGTCTTGGCACACCATATTTCAAAATGTGCCATTTTTTTGCAGTTCTGATACTCTCTTGAAAAGTTCTAGAGCTCTTTGCAACAATTTTCAATAGCTCCGGTCATTAAATACAAAAAAATAGACTTTTAAAAAAAGGTGCGCTAAGTTCTCGCAGCGCACCTAATCAAACAAACTATTTAAATTAACTATTTCTTTAAAGTTCCGGTTTGTTTTACAATAGTTCTAGAGTTCTATATCATATATAACAATAGTTTTAAAGAAATAGTTGATTTTACTGATTAAGTGCGCTTCGAGAACTTAGCGCACCTTTTTTTAAAGGTCTATTTTTTTGTATTTAATAACCGGAACTATTGAAAATTGTTGCAAAGAGCTCTAGAACTTTTCAAGAGGGTATCAGAACTGCAAAAAAAATGGCACATTTTGAAATATGGTGTGCCAAGTCTTGGCACACCATATTTCAAAATGTGCCATTTTTTTGCAGTTCTGATACTCTCTTGAAAAGTTCTAGAGCTCTTTGCAACAATTTTCAATAGCTCCGGTCATTAAATACAAAAAAATAGACTTTTAAAAAAAGGTGCGCTAAGTTCTCGCAGCGCACCTAATCAAACAAACTATTTAAATTAACTATTTCTTTAAAGTTCCGGTTTGTTTTACAATAGTTCTAGAGTTCTATATCATATATAACAATAGTTTTAAAGAAATAGTTGATTTTACTGATTAAGTGCGCTTCGAGAACTTAGCGCACCTTTTTTTAAAGGTCTATTTTTTTGTATTTAATAACCGGAACTATTGAAAATTGTTGCAAAGAGCTCTAGAACTTTTCAAGAGGGTATCAGAACTGCAAAAAAAATGGCACATTTTGAAATATGGTGTGCCAAGTCTTGGCACACCATATTTCAAAATGTGCCATTTTTTTGCAGTTCTGATACTCTCTTGAAAAGTTCTAGAGCTCTTTGCAACAATTTTCAATAGCTCCGGTCATTAAATACAAAAAAATAGACTTTTAAAAAAAGGTGCGCTAAGTTCTCGCAGCGCACCTAATCAAACAAACTATTTAAATTAACTATTTCTTTAAAGTTCCGGTTTGTTTTACAATAGTTCTAGAGTTCTATATCATATATAACAATAGTTTTAAAGAAATAGTTGATTTTACTGATTAAGTGCGCTTCGAGAACTTAGCGCACCTTTTTTTAAAGGTCTATTTTTTTGTATTTAATAACCGGAACTATTGAAAATTGTTGCAAAGAGCTCTAGAACTTTTCAAGAGGGTATCAGAACTGCAAAAAAAATGGCACATTTTGAAATATGGTGTGCCAAGTCTTGGCACACCATATTTCAAAATGTGCCATTTTTTTGCAGTTCTGATACTCTCTTGAAAAGTTCTAGAGCTCTTTGCAACAATTTTCAATAGCTCCGGTCATTAAATACAAAAAAATAGACTTTTAAAAAAAGGTGCGCTAAGTTCTCGCAGCGCACCTAATCAAACAAACTATTTAAATTAACTATTTCTTTAAAGTTCCGGTTTGTTTTACAATAGTTCTAGAGTTCTATATCATATATAACAATAGTTTTAAATTAAATATTTATACTATTAAATTATACTATTATTTATACTATTATACTATTATTTATACTATTTAAATTAAATATTTCTTTAGAGTTCCGGTTTGTTTTACAATAG